GGGATCGAGTCCCGCATCGGGCTCCCTGCTCCGCGGGGAGCCTGCTTCTCCCTCTGCCTGTCTCTCTGTCTCTCATGAATAAATAAATAAAATCTTTAAAAAAAAAAAAAAATTAACAAAGGACTTGAACAGACATTTCTCCAAAGAACATACACAAATGGCCAATAAGCACACGAAGATAATCAACATCATTACTCATTAGGGACCCAAAATTCAACACCACAATGACACATCACTTCACAACTACTAAGATAACCAAAAAAAACAGAAAATAATAAGTGTTGACAAGGATGTGGAAAAAGTGGAACCCTCATACATTGCTGGTGGGAAATGTAAAATGGTGCAGCCACTGTGGAAAACAGTTTGGTGGTTCCTCGAAAAACTACACACAGAATTACGATATGATCCAATAATTCCACTCCTAAGTATATACGCAAAAGAAATGAAAACAGAGACTCAAACAGATATTTGTACGCCAATGTTCACTGGAGCATTATTCACAACAGCCAAAAGAAGAAAACAACCCAAGTGTTCACTGATGGATGAACAGATCAACAAGATGCGTGTGTGTGTATAATGGATTATTATTGAGCCATAAAAAGGAGGAGGTTCTGACACATACTACAACATGGATGAACCTTGAAAACATGGTAAGTAAAATAAGCCAGGCATAAAAGGACAAATATATGATTCCACTTACATGAGGTAGCTAGAACAGTCAAATCCATAGAGTATAGTAGAGGTTACCAGGGTTTGGGAAGAACTGGAATGGGGAGTCATTGCTTAATAGTAACAGAGTTTCTCTTTGGGGTGATGAAAGGTTTTGGAAATAGGTAATTGTGGAAATGGCACAACACTGTGGATATAATTAATGCCACTGAACTGTATACTTAATATTAAAATGGCAAATTTTATGTTACATATATTTTACCACAATAAATTTTTTTTTAAATGAAAGTAAGTGCAAAGGCACAGGGAAAAACAAAACAAAACAAAAATAATAAATAAAAATGACAACACATCAGCACCTTTCCACACACTGCGTTCGGGACAGAGGAGGCTGACATTTTCGGTTATGAGCTTCTCGGGCAGCAAGTCTAGCTCCTGACAACTGAAAAGGAATAAAAGCACCATTTAATAAACTATCAAACTTGCTATCATCCTAGAAAAACTGGTATCACATTCTGACGTCAAGAAGCCAATTAAAGCAGCTCCATGTTGTAAACAAGCATCTGTTTCAGGGGAAAACAAAAACAAAACACATTAAACTGGGAAAGTTCTAGAGGAGCATGAAGCAATACCTAACATATTAAAGCACTGAGAGATTATCTTACACATGGTGATTTTAACAGGTGTGCAGAAGAGTTGTAAACAAGACGGTTTTCTAATAAACCTAACAAAGCTGAAATTTTTCTAAACAAAACTTTCAGAAACTTTAACTGGAGCTGAGTTAGATACCAAGAGGATACCAAGCTCATAACTATATCTCTAAGTGCCTTTATCCGTTATACAGTAGCTGTAATGGATGCTCAATGCAAATGTTTAAAAAAAAAAAAAAAGTTTTTCTAAAACACTGCCTGGAATGATCACAACCTAAGCTCTTTGGGGAGAAATTTGTATTTGCAAATAAAAGATCAGCCACCCAGTATTGACACCTCAGAGTCTTAAAAGGGAACGGTCTTTGAGACAGTCGTTTACAACATCAGCACTCAGAGTAAGTTTAGAGTAAGTATAAACTCCAGTCTGTCGAATCAAAAAGCATAGTATCTTCATCTATCTGAAGAGATTTACCTCATTTAATGCTCAAGTTGCATGTTTTTATTGGTGGAGACATTCTCAAATTGTCACATACATCAAAAATTTTAAAAAATGTCTAAAAAGTTGATATACCTTTTCATCTTCCCACTGAAAAAAATTACAGTCTTTTCTATCTCTACAGGCTGAGCAGGCATAAAATCTCCGTGTTTCTTCTTTCCCTTGGTTCACCTTTACAAACAGAAGAGTAGGTCCTAGTTCCAGAATGGGAAAAAAAACATGTCAAACAATAGTCATCTACATCAAGTTCCTAGTTTTCACTGCCATTAAATAAAACTTGATTTGGTTTTATGCACAATTTGTCATAATTAAGCCCACTCTGTTTACTTTTTTTCCCCCCATCACATTTAGGCACTGATTACTTGAGGCGTAACTCTTGAAAACTAGTCTCTGCAGAAAGAAAATGCCATTGTCAGTTGCTGTCTACATGGTGAATGATCTGGGTCCTGAGACGAAAAACATGGAAGGGATCCAGGGAACGGAGCACTTTGCCACCTCCACCCAGTTATCCTTTCAGTGAAAATCTGAGCTTTTGGAGTCGGATGTGCGCACATCCTCTCCACAATTGAGAGAAAAACTAGGTCTGGTCTCTGAGCAATAATTCATGCTATCCTTCCCCCTAACTTTTTAAAATAAAAAGCAAAACAACCAATGAAATCCCCAAGTACTCGGCAATGGATTTACTCAGTAACATGCATCCCCTTTGCCTAGACTCTGCCTCTTCCCTTGGGGGCGGGGGGGGACTGTAACAGCCACGGAGCAAAAACCACCACAGTGAGGACTTTCTATGACAGTTTCTTAAGTAAACTGAAAACACTACGTCCCCAGGAAAGGGCGTTTTTTGGCATCACACATGGTGAAACCGAGGAAGATACAAATCTGGGAGCCCTAAGAAGCCCAAGGCACCTTCAGGCTAACCTCCGCCCCTCGCGCCCGACAGCTCGGCTGAGCCCAGACGCACACCCACCGTGAGGACACAGCGGGGCGGGGGTGGCGGGATCGGAAGGAAATACCACCTCCACTCCTGAACTCGCCTGGCGCCCCGCGCTTCCCTCTGCTTCCACTGTTCCCAGCCAATCCCTGGATGCCGCCATCTTCCCGCCACCGTCCCGAAAGCCTCAGTCCATACCGAGGAGGCTGAGAAAGAGTGCCGCCGCGCTGGGAGAGAAGTCACAGCGCCCCCGCGCGCCTAGGAGGAACTGAGCCCCGAAAAGCCGTCCCTTCTGCCCTGGCTGCCCCTATGGGATCCCTGGCGGGCGGGCAGGGGTAGGGGTTTTGGGAGTAGGGGACGGGGTTGGGGGTGTTTGCAGGCAATTTACTGGATCTGTGCAATAAGCTCACCTATTTTCTACTTTACCCTCAGCACCGCAAGTACCCTCCTCTCCTAAGAATACAGCCAGAAGATGAGATGACTCTTTCGGAGAAAAGATTTGGTAGGGTTTTAAGACCAAAAGGCAGCATCACCACCACCAGCACCTGACAATAGAGATGGCTGCAGCAACCGCGTTTGCGGAAAACATCCTCTTCTTTTTTTCCCCAAAGTCAGAGTCACACTGTTCTCTTCTACCTCTTGGGCAACGCTACCCGTTGCACGTTATAGTTGCATATCCATCAACATTTATACATCAGAGAGAGAGAAATAAAACTCCCTCTTTGCATATGACGTGATTGTCTACTTAGAAAATGCCAAGGAATCTGCAAAAATAATTCCAGCTGAAATTGAGTTCAGCAAGGTTGCAAGATACCAGGTAAACAAACATACAAAACCCAATCATACTTCTATGTACTAGGAATGATGCAATGAACACCCAAACTGGAAATAAAACACCACTTACAACTGCTCAGATAAATGAAGTACTTAGGTGTAAATCTAACAAAATATGTACAGGACTTGTATGCAGAACACAACAAAATGTTAATGAAAAAAATCAACGATCTAAATAAATGTAGAGGCTGTGTTACTACGTTAAGAATACTCAACATAGTGAAGATGTCAGTTCTCCCCAGGTTTAGTGCATGTACAAGTTTAATACAATTTCCGGGGTGCCTGTGGCTCAGTTGGTTAAGCTTCTGCCTTCAGCACAGGTCATGCATGATCTCAGGGTCCTGGAATGGAGCCCCACATTGGGCTCCCTGCTCGGTGGGAAGTCTGCTTCTCCCTCTCCCTCTGTGATCACTCTCACTCTTGCTCTCTTTCAAGTAAATAAAATCTTTAAAAAAAATTTCTTGTAGGTACAGATTTGTGGTCATTGAAAGACTTCTTTACAAAATTTGTGGTTGAGTTCATGAAATCATACCACCAAAAATAGTCACTGAATCTATATTTTCTGAATCTTTCTTAAATAACTCTGATTCTGTGGGGTGACCTATAGAAGCAGGCCAAACCAGTATGGATTTGCAGGCTTTACAGGTAACCTTCCCCAAACAGTAAAAGTACAACAAGGGTTGACCCAAATAAGGCAAATGAGAGAGTACCCCTTAGTGTGAGAGAATGTGAAGGTTTCAAAAATAAGGCAGTTCCCTCTTTTCTCGGGCATAATTTTGGGAAGAAAAACAAACAAACAAACACCACCTCACCTCATATTCAGACATATATGATAAAAGTCATGTATGCTGAATATTTGCTGAGAGGGGCATAAATAGGAGCTCACAACAGTAAATTGGGAATGTTTCTTTTTATTGTCTACTTGTACAGGAAAATCCTTGAGCAGAGGAAAGCTGAGGGACATCAGCAGGAGGTTCAAAGGAAACCAGTGGCAGAGCTGGAAACGGGTCCCCTGAGGCTGGAGCGCAGAGACAGACCCTGGGTACGCGCCGTCTCACAGAGCAGAATCCCTGAAGCCACTAAAATGAGCTCGGATTCAGCGACTCCCCCTCTGGAGGATGTGGACAAACCCCTGAGCTTCCCACAGGACAGGAGGAAGACTCACTCCTTACTTGGTTAGTGGGGTAGAAGCACTCCCACCTCCAAAGCTACTGCAGAGAAAATGGTTCAAGCCCAAGGAGCATTTGGTAAGTAACAGCTGAGCGACTTCTCTGTATTCTATAACCAACCCCCAGTTTCCCTTTGGAAATCCAACCCTCCCCAGTTTTAGCCCATGTAGTGGGAGTAATACAAAGGGCCAGAGGGGCTGGCTTGGGTTTGGGCAGATGACTGGGGGCCTCTGCCGGAATGGTTAGGAAAGGAATTACAATAGTTAAATTTTGTCATCTTAGTGGCATCTGTCATGTTGATTCATCACTTGTCACACAGGTTCAGCCTTCCCATCTTGGCTGGGCCAGGTGACTGGCTTGTCTAGGGTTGCCTTGGCAGGGGTAAGTCATCTCTGCCCCATGTGTCTCTCATCCCCCTCCTGGAACCAGTGGGCCAGCCTGGAAACGTCTTTCTCATGGGAATGGCCAGAGCACAAGAGTTAAGAGAAAGGGACAAGAATCGGGAGGCCTAGGCTTGGAGCTGCCCCTGTTACTTCCACCATATGCTTTTGGGTCAAGCGAGTCACATGGGCAAGCACTGCAAGCCTGGCAAAGGGCGTGGGTCAGAAGGGGGTGAAGGGTGAAGCCAGTGGTACAATTCGTCCCTGAAGCACCTTTCACTGCAGCAACCACGTGGCTGTTGTCTTTGTGGTAGTTATGGTTGTTGTGGTTTCCCACCATTTAAGGAGCACCTGCCTTGGCAGAAAAGCCAGAGCAGTACTAGGAAATAGGAATGTGTGAGGATACCATGTGAGCACCTAGATCCAGCCATGCCCGAAATTTTCACTTATATGGGTCATAAATTCCTTTGTCTCTTTAAGCCAGTTTGAGATGGGGTTGGTTCTATCAATCACCACCCAAGAACGCCAAATCTATGGCTCTATGGCTGTAGCCATTATATGGGATGGACGTATCTGTGTATTAATATGCCTCGAAACCCTTTGCCAGTCAAGACCAGCCAACCCTGCTCTCCATTCTCCCTGCCACACCCCCTGTCAGTCTGCCTGTCCTCCTGCCCAGCTATCTTTTCTGGCCCTTGTCATGGAACCCTGTCTCCCCACCTGCCCTTTTTCTTGCTGCCCCAAAGCAAGTACACAGACCTACTTTATTATTATTATTATTAAAGTTCTACACCAATTCACGAACCTGGTATCAAGAGTCGCATGCTCTACAGACTGAGCCAGCCAGGCACCCCACAGACCTCGTTCTTTTTAAAGGGAAAACTGTCGGGGGAGACCATCAAAAACGAAGGAAATCTACAAAGACTTCACCGTGGCTGTCTCTGCTCTCTGGTTATGGATCCTAGCTTCCCTGCTCACAGGGTCATTGCTATGGATTGAATTGTGTCCCCCCCACCCCAAACCCCACCAAACTCATATGTTGAAACTCTAACCACCAATGTTATGATGTGGGGCCTTTGGAATATAATTAGGTTTAGATGAAGTCATGAGGGTGAGCCCCCAAATAGGACTGATGCCCTTATAAGAAGAGGATGAGACACCAGAGTTTGCTCGCCCTCCATACTTCTCCCCCTCCCTCTTCTTTCCTCCCTCTCTCTTTCTCTCTCTGGCTCTCTCTCTCTCCCTGCCCTGTGAGAACACAGGAAGGAGCATAACACCCACAGGCCAGGAAGCAGGCTCTCAGCAGGGACTGAATCTACCAGCACCTTGATCTTGGGCTTCTCAGCCTCTAGAACTGTGAGAAATAACTTTCTGCTGCTTAAGCCACGGGTCTGTGGTATTGTTGTGGCAACCCGTAGACCAAGAGAGTCATGCATCCCCTTGACTTTCCCTCTCTGCTTTGATTTCTGAGGGAAAAGCTCACCAAACCTCTCCCCATCCCTGGAAAGCATGAACTCTGACAACCTGGTTGGGGAAGGACTTGGATCCAAAGGGACTTCGTGCGGTTTTCCTCAGATCTGTGAAAAACAGCAAGGACACTGCTGAACCAAACACCCTGAAGGTAAGGACACTTGGATAAGCTACTGAGCCTCGCTGGTCATTTCTGAGGTGCCGGGCTTGGCCAGCATCCTGGGGCCAGACAGACAGGAGCCCCCGGGGGAAGGGGCCTCAGAGAACAGCAGAGACAAGGAGCCCCTGGGAAGCACTCCGAGCTCAGAAGGGGCTGTACCAACCCGCCTCTTCCTGCCTGCGCTCGCCCCTCTAGCATGAGAGCTGAGAACAAGGGGCAGGAGAGAATGTGTGCTTATGTGCGTGACAGTGACTGGTCCTGGGAACACAGAGAAATGAAACTTAAGGGGCACTTGGGTGGCTCAGTTGGTTAAGCGACTGCCTTCAGCTCGGGTCATGATCTCAGGGTCCTGGGATCGAGCCCTGCGTCTGGCTCCCTGCTCAGTGGGGAGCCTGCTTCTCCCTCTCCCTCTGCTGCTCCCCCTGCTTGTGCTCTCTCGCTCACCCTCTCTCTCTCTTAAATAAATAAAATCTTTAAAAAAAAAGAAAAGAAAAGAAATGAAACTTAAAAATAAATAAATCTATGAAAAGCAAAGCTCCATGGGTGGTGGGTTAAGTAGTGTTCCCCCAAAGATTTGTACCCACCCAGAACCTCAGAATGTGACCTTGAAATAGGGTCTTTGCAGATGTAATGGGTTAAGGATAGAGGTGAGATCCTACTGGATTCCGGTGAGCCCTAAATCTGACAAGAGTGACCTTTTGAGGAGCAGAAAGGACACAGAGGGACACGCAGAGAAAGACACATGGAGACAGGGGGAGGCACAGATGGGAGTCCTGTGGCCACCAGCCAGGTGATGCCTGGGGTGGCTAGAATCTAGGAAGAGGCAGGGAAGGATCGTCCCCCCGAGCTTTGGGAGGGAGCATGGCATGGCTGACAGCCCTAGAGCTTTGAGAGAATACATTTCTGTTGTTTAAAGCCCCCCAGTTTGTGGCACTTTGTGACAGTAGCCCTAGCAAAGTAATATACCTCGTCGGGTGCTTTAAGTCCTCCTCCCAGAGAGCCCAGCTCTGCCGTTTATCTTCCAAGTGACCTTGGGGAGGTCGCTATCTGAACGTCAGTGTCCTCGCCTGTAGAAATAACCATGACTACCATCAAGGCCTGGGCGCATTGGAGGACTTGACAAAAAGAACACGGAGCACTCTGTCAACAGCCCAGTGATATGTACACATTAGT